GCCAGGACAACACTGGTACACCAACTTGTTACAGCTCCCTTGGGAGCCCTCATACCACGTACTCCAATCTATAGACTTCTCTCTCAAGCAGCAGAGAAAATTCTTGTCTTAATTTTCCATCCTGGCACCTGGTCTAGATGATAGGCTTCTAATGGGTCCTCACCTAGTTGCAGTGCAAGAGTAATTGAGATCCTATCCTATCCAGAAAACCTGCAACACAATAGTGTTATGGACATCTTTATGCTCAACAGGTGATAAAGGCTTATGGCTGGAGTCTGCCCCCTATGGGTATGTCTATGCTGCAATAAAAAAAAAATCCCTGGCACCTAGTCTCAGGGCCCAGATCAGCTGACTTGGGTTTGTGGGGCTTGGACTGCAGGACTAAAATAAAAGTGGAAACTCTCAGGCTGGAGCCCAGGCCCTGAGACTCATTCCCCTTGTGGGGTCAGAGAGCCTGGGCTCTAGCCTGAACCCAAACATCTACACAACAATTTTATAGCCCTGTAAGCCCGAGTCAGCTGACAAAGGCCAGCTTTAGCCATGCTGAAGGTCTTTTATAGCTACGTAGAAATACTCTGTAGCTCCTGTCTTGAACTATATACTGTACCTAATGGAGGCTGGCCACTATTGCATCCTAGAATATACACCAAACTGCTATTTCAGCCTGTCATCAGGGATTTTTCTACACCACATCAACTAGATTTCTCAAGGGACAAATGCATGCCTTTCCAGCTGATAAAGAACCTACACCAGTGAGGGATTTAAATGTTGTCCATGGAAAGCTAATGCCTAATTGGCTATGCCTCCTGGTTGGTTGGAAGAGTCAGCAGACTGACTCTTTAAGCCCAGCTGCAGCAGTTCAGCAGCTGCTCAAAGCATTCAATCATAGCTGTTTTAGCCTGTGCCTGCTTCTTCCCAGCCCTGCCCGTGCCTTGTGTAACTCCTTGTGTAAAACCTCAAGATCCACATGGGAATTAATCTCAAACTGAGTAACCCCATCACTGTGTAACTCCAGGTAACCTGGTTCTGACCCTGGGTTCTGACCCCTGATTCCAGCTCTGATGCTTGGCTCTGGAATCTAGCCTCTGACTTTGGTTCTGACCCTAGGTACTGATGCCTGCTGTAACCACGAGACCCCACTGCCCACATCCTGGTCACTGCTCTAACCACTAGGCCTGACACCTGCCCCAACAACTAGACCTGACTGTCCACGTTCTAGTCATTGACAGTCACCTCCTGCATTTGCTTGTGTTATGCTAAAGCAGATGTCCCTTCTATAGGAATTAGGGTCCATTCTACATGAACCACAGCTTCCTCAGTGGCATATCTATGATAGATACTCACAATAGAGAGATGCAGAAAGGCACATAAAAGTTCAGTTCATACCCATGTTAAATATTATGCCTCTTGTACCCATCCATACCCTTAAGCCTCTAAACTTTGCCTCTTTTTCAGATGCCATGTTCAAGCAGGGGGTGCTTGCTGTCCTCTACAAGTGGTACAGCTTGCTACCTTCTCTCAGGTGGGAATGCACAGAGGTCCTGGAAGAAGAAAGGAAGGAACTTACTGGTAGTTGTTGTTCTTCAGGAGTCTCCTCTGTGCGTTCACATTTTCCACTCATCTTCTCTTTTTCAGACTTCTTGTCACACTTTGGGACTCAGCAATTCAGGAGAATGAACTGAGATTGGTAGGGAGTCCGCTCCCTTTATATATACTCAGACCTCAGCCATCAACATCACTTGGGGGCATTGTGCACCCCAACAGACACAGTTTTGGTAGAGATTCCTTGCCTCAACACCAGGGAGCACCATATTCCATACTCGGGGATGCACAGAACCATTTCTCAAAGAACAGCCGTTATCAGTACGTTTCTTTTATGGGTTTTCCCTTCCAGATTATATGCATTTGTACCTGACTGTGAGTACACTAAGGTTCTTCTTTGAACGATGGCCCCTATTATATCTATGGGTACACTGTGCACAGGTAAACTATGGTAGTTCCTACTCAGGTCTAACGTGTATAGCTAACACTTTTATGTTAGGTAAGCTAAAGTACCAATTAATTTACCAGTATTGTAGGGCAGTGGAGATGGACAATGAGAGAGGACATTTCTACTAGCATAAACTATTTCTCCATTGTAGATATGAACATGGTATTAACATCAGCTACACATTATACATACACACACATTTAATACTTCTTTTTTGGGCGTTTGAGGGGGTTGGGAGGAGAGGAATTGTATTTCCTTCCAGCTGTACCTTATGGCACTAAAATGCTGTAGAAAGGATTTGCTCTCAGTGTTCCATAGTTAGTGTTCTATGGTCTGATTCTCTTTTGGGGATTTTTTCATATTAGCATGTGAATGCTAGGTATGCAATTGGTATGGTATCATTTAGCTTCGGAGAGTTGGGTTCCAATCTTGACATGGGTCACCAATTAAAATGGGTTGCTTGGTCTCATCCTTAAAGCTAATGGACATTTGTCTATCTCACATAACCTTCACCAGCTTGGCATACTGTAGTTTTAAATTTCTGCTGAAGAGGGGCCTATGGCTGAAATGGTTTTAGGATGGCATGTCAGGGTTGAGATGCATCAGAAGAGCTGTGGAGACTGTATTATATCTGGCTCAGATTATTGCTATGAATACCACAGTTTCATGAGCACTAAATTAACCAAGAAAATTGTCAGATTTATTTGTGTGTTTAATGTAATCTTCTGCGCTTTCTCTCTTTTAAAACCCCCCCTACCACTAGCATGTGAAGCACCAGTGTTTGCACCCTCCCTTATTACATGAGAGAATGCAATGATAAATCATCAGTGGGTGCCAGCACAGTACATCCTGGGAGATCAGAAGTAATAGAATTTGGAGCATGACCAACTACATCAAGGCACTTTTTATTCTGTAGTGTGGAATATAATTAATTAACCTGTTTGTGTCTGCTATGCAATGACAGAGGTTACTTCTCTTGATCAATGGGTTGTAATTCCTACTCTCTGTACAATAATATTAATCATTACTTCATGTAGTTTCTTTCATATCATTCTGTAATCTTAGGAAATTACCTTTTGTGTTCAAGTTTCCCCACTCCGTAGCAGAAGTCGTTTCTTGCATCTGCAGCTGGGAGCCTTCTGATCAAGTTAGCAAGAGTTCTATGGTGTGTGTGTGTGTGTATTGCTTAATATGTGGTCAGTACTCTTGTCTAGCCACATCAACGAATTGTGTTGCTGTTGGAACCTTGCGTACATGAAATAATCATGATGACTGTTTAGTGTTCTTTTTAGCTTTTATGGTGAATGAATGTAATTGAGAAGAAAACTGGTGATTAAATGGTTAAAGGTACAGAATTCAGACTAAACTTTTTAATAAAATCTGAACAGATGATCTGCCTTTTTTTTTTTTTTTTTGAACTGGCAGGTTTCAGGCCCTCTAATTGGCTTCCCAGTTTTACAGAGTAATTACAGCTTCAAGCAAACTTTGTCATCTGTGGTTCAGAATGGTGTAAAGTAAACAGAACATTTTGAAATACAGCTTGTAGTTAGAGTTGCTCAGGAGAGTTTAACTAACCTATCTAATTTAGATAGCAGCATCATTTTATTTGAAAATGGTAGTTTACCTAATAATTCGGAAGGTTTCAAACATTTTGTAGCCATAATGAATAAAATTAACCTTTGGCATTTTACATCCTTTTCATTTTAAGGAGGTAAGTTCAATAATTCAGAAAGGTCCTTTGTATTTTTTAAATTCTTTTTATTTTTTCCTCATCTTAGATAAAGGATCAGAAATGGCCCGAAAGGAGACATTTTTTTCTAAAACTGTATTGCCAATTTCTGTTGATGATTTAGTATTGTATTCCTTTGAACATTAGTCTCCACCCAGATGTTGTATGTTGCCTAGTATTAAAAGGTCAGAAAACTCTCATGGTTGATATTGAATCCTAACTTCACTGAAGGATTTAGGATTAAAATTCGTAATTCTAAATTATAGATGGCTTGCATACAAGAACAAAAAGTTGAGTCTGTTTACTGGCTTATTCATCTTTTTGAAAGATAATTTAGACTTCCAACTGTTTGAATTGAGATTCAGCCTTTTAATTACATTTGTTTATGTATAGTAGAAAATTTGAAGACGTTATGGCGGCTTGTTCTCTTCTCTTGGTAGTGACTCAACTATTGCTTCAGCATCCTGAGCCAGCTCTTGGTAGCCAGCTTCACTTATTCCCCTGTGCTTTGTACTTCACTTTCCAAACTCTTTTTTTCTTTGTAAATGTAATGCAGTTTTTCAGTAACTAGTAGAAAAGAATTGTAATATTCTATATTATAGTACTTGCTCATTCATCTTTACACACATTTTTCATTAGCTGTCAGTGAAAGGAGAGATCAACAAATGAGCCCTTATTCATTTTCAAATCATAGTAGGAATTTTGCTTACCCAAATAAATGTGCATACAATAGCTTATGAGGTGTATGGGTGTGCCAGATGCCAGTAAAAACTTCAGTGCTTTCACCTGCTTGAGAAATATGGGTAAAACATCAGTTTTTGAAGTGTGGTGTTACTCTGCTTTTCTAAAACTGTTTTTCTTTTTGCATTGGAGACAAAAGATCACATTCATCTTGCCATGTGCAGATGGAAAAGGGTGCCTTTAGCTACAAGCACTACCTTGGCATCCTTGAGCAGTCCAAAATCTGACACCACCCTCAAGTTGCACACCTGTTTTACAAATGGAGATCACTCTGTCTGTATGAGAGACACCAATACAAATTCCATCAACTCTTCTGGCAGTTTTCTCCAGCCCACAAACATTATCTCAGTTTTGCCTGCAACTAACTAGCTTTCATCCATGCCCCAAGTTCATCTAGGCATTGGGTAATTCATTCCATGGCTTTTTATAAATACTGGATGTGTATAAACTATGTATAATTTAACTAAACAATTTTATTTGCTGTTCCCATATTATAATAGCAATACTTATAAGAAAAAAATGTCCTTTATATCTTTCTAGAATGCCAGCTAATGAAAACAGAACGACCAAAGCCAAATACATTTATTATTAGATGTCTTCAGTGGACAACTGTCATAGAGAGGACATTTCATGTAGACACTCCAGAAGAACGGTGAGGAATGTTATGTCTTCCAAATTCTTGGGCAGAAGTTTCAGCACATCTACCAGTATGGCACAAGTCTTGATTTTGATTACTACATAATCTGATTATTTGTGTGCAACTCTTTTAAGAATTTATATATTAGCCTGTGGAAAATGTTCCTAGTTCATATCAAATATAAGATAAGAACTTTATATAACTGAAGGGAAAGAATGTGTTCAGCTTATCCAAATTTGTGTCATGACATCTCTCTGAAGTGTTTCACCTTCAGCAACATAAACCAAATATGAAACTCGTTTTTTTTCTCTCAGTAGCTCTGAATTTCTTTTCATTCCAGTATATCTTTTGTTTTGTCAGAAAATGCAATATCCTATGACTACATCTTTAGTTATAATTACAATTCCTTGTTAGAGTGGATACTCTAGTATACACATTTAAGTATAAGAATAAGAATTAACTCTTCATTCGCAAGACAAGTGTGTAGGAGACATGAGATGAAGTGCCATGTAAGTATCATTACTTAGCTGTATTGTGATCCTTGTTATCTCTTAGTGCCCACTTCCAGTTGAGATTAATACCATGGTTTGGCATTATGTTAGAAATTGCATAGCTACTAGCTTTCCTTTCGGTGTTGTTAATATTATATTAGTATAGATATATACACACATTTAAATGTAGTTAGATTGTTCTAAAAGCACAGCATTGCCTTATACTGTGCAATTCTTGTTTCTTAATGATATTCCTTTAAAAAGCCCACCAAGAAACATAGACTGTATAGGGATTGCAGAATACTGTCTACACTAAACTCTGAGCTATACTTTGACTCATTAAGATATTTAACTTGCTATTAAAGTATTTACAGAATCAAACACATTTAATTATTGTGATATAATCTACCATGCACACACATCCTGTGCTGCTGGATCTAGAGCATATACCACTTGTCAGACTATGTAGTGTATGGGAGTAAACTGAAGCAAATTACTTTAGTAATTCCTTCATTATGTAACATAATAACTTTGCAGGTAAAATAGTACTACTGTGTGTGCATTCATTAGAAAACATTTGGTTGCAGAAGGGGTCAAGCTGTGTTAGTTTTTATTAATAGGAATTTTGGTTTATTCTTGATAGGGAAGAATGGACAGAAGCTATCCAAGCTGTAGCAGACAGGCTTCAGAGGCAAGAAGAGGAGAGAATGAACTGTAGTCCAACATCACAGATAGACAATATAGGAGAGGAGGAGATGGATGCTTCCACAACCCATCATAAAAGAAAGGTAACAGGATACAGAGATGACTGATAAGATTCCATGATATGTAAATAGCTTGTGTATAATTGTGCATTTGTATAGAAGCAATATGCAAAGACAATTATTTATAGAAAGTTTCAGTTGACCATAAAGCATGGAAGTATACATTTCTTTTATTTAAGCTGAACTCCTCTAATTTCGTTATTTTAATATAACTCACTCTTTGAGCCCACAGTTCACTCCTTCAGGCACCAAATCTTAACAGATATACACACTAAGTACTTTTTCAGAGTCTGGTTTAACAAATTGTCAACTAATTCATTATACATTTTCACATTTTAGTTTTTTGACTCTTCTAGAAATTTGGAAATAGGAGTTGCCCTAAAGGAAAACTATTTGCCTTTCTCATACAAATAGTCCTATTTAAATATATTTATTATTTGCATGAGAAAAGTAAGCAGGATTTGGCTTTTAATGACTTTAGTCTTCCGCAGAAAGCAAAATATCTGTGCTCTGGTTTTTAATAAAGCAAAACCAGGTTCTGCTATGTGCAGCTGTAACAATCTCTTCATCATGCATCATCAGGAAGGTTTGAATCCTGAGCTTTTAGCATTGCAGCACAGACTTCTAGCAATTATGCTCCAGGACAAACTATGGTACATCTGTTAACAGGAAGAGTCCTATGTGAACCAGCCATTAGAGGTGGAGATATAACACAATGAAAGAGTGGGTTACCTGTGCATGATTTAGCACTCTTTTACAAACCGCATGCCCAAAGATATGGCAGGGCCTTTCTGGTAGGTAATGTGGCTAATTTGAAGGGATTTGGGTCTGCCTGGCTAGAGATCTGAGTACTATTCCCAATTTATGTAACTTATCAGTGAAGTATAAGACACTGCATATCAATAAGGGTTGTCAGCGGTACAGAATTATTAACACAACTTATAAGAAGTGCCTTTGGAACTCATGGTCTCCCTGTGTCACTGTTCAGTGTGTCTTTCCATAGGCCAAAAGGGGTGGGAGGGAGTAGGAGGAGGAAGATGAATTTTTTTTTCTGTGTCCTATCGAGGACTTGAGCTCTCTGTGAAATCTGAAGTGAGATGCCTGAAATGAGTGCATGTACAGTGCTACAGAATGTTGAGGGATTTTGGCAGCAAGTCTAAAGCAAGCTGTAAAAAGCTAACCTCAGATGGGAAATGGAGATTTTTGATACGTAATAACTCAGCTGTACTTGAATAGAGTATTTTTGAGGCCAGTAAAGGGTACATCCGTGATGCTATGGCCATTTCCCTGCAAAAATTCAAAGAAGGTTTCAAGAATTGTTTTAAAATGGAAAATGTTAAGTAACCTTAATACAGGGTGTGTTGTCACTTTCCCTGTATGTCCACAGAGTCAGCAGCCAGCAGTCCTGAATACTATAATAATGTTAATCATTCAGAATATTTTTTCTTGCTTCTTTTATTAAAGTCTCTTTCTGTAAGAGAAAAGATAATAATCGCTGGTTAGAAATCAGTCTAGACGTACGATTTTGTGAAGCTCTTATAGTTGTTGGTATACTCAGAACCACAATTTATAACCATATAATCCATTTACCTTGTCATTTCTTTTCTATATGGATTTGTTTAACATCAGGGGTTTGTTGTACAATATGTCGTACACACAGTAGCTTTGTCACATGATTCTACATCGAAGCCCAATGAATTTTGCTTGTGCCTGCTCCATATGGTACACTTATGAGTAGAAGAACATAATCAGATTAAGAAACAAATACACAGAAATGGGACTACTCTGCTCTAGAAATGTAGTAAATTGAGTCTGTAAATAAAATGATCTTTAGAGTACATGATTTAATTTTGATAGACGTGGCTCCATCATCTTCAGTCTGGGTATTTCTGTAAATCAAAGGTGGTGCTTTTCATAAATAACTTTAAAAATCTTAATGGATATTGTAGCTATAAAATACTAATGCCATCACTAGAATCCTGAAATACATTATGCCAGATTAGTATCTGAAGATTGTTTTTATTCCTCTTTGCACTTGTTCCTTATGGGCAGGATCTTGCTCTCATTGAAATCAATGGCAAAACTCCTGTTGATTTAAATAGGAATGGAATCAGTCCCTTTATGCACAGAGTATGTTCTTATGAGTTTTTCACAACTTGTTGTAAAGCCTGTTCTCTTTCTCATCCTTCAAATAAAACACCAGTAGTGGAGTCAATCAGCTCTATACAAGCATTAACTATGTGAACTTTTCTTAGTTATTTTGGCTTCCAACAACAGAAGCATGGAACCTGCAACTCTGCTCTCTCCATCTTTCTCTTACCTCATAAATTTGTTCTTCAGGATTCAGAATGAGTAAGAAGTAAGAAAAAGAACAAACAGTACCAGAACACTGGAGAAATAGGAGGTGAGGGGGAGGGACAGAGAAGAGAACCTCATCTAATGGATGGAAGCCCCTCAAGAGTCTAATTCCCTGTAACCCTCATGTGAATGGCTGTTTGCCCCTTTACCTCATCAAAGTTTTTAGTAGTCCCAGCTCTTTCATTCCTCTGGTTGAGTGGTGCTTCTTCAGTCTCCCAACATCCACCCATTGTATTCCTTGGCAGGCCTCACTGTGTTACTCTGCACTGTTTGCCATCTCTGAGCCCTTTGGTAAACTCAGGAAGAGAACAGGAAGAGACTTTTGTCTTCACCTCTAGGTCTATGACCATGGCCTGCTGTTAAGCCACTACTCAAAATCCTCCAAGGCTATTGCCTTCCTTTGTAATACCTGCTTTGATGCGGCATGTGTGAAAACTAGATCCATGATAGCACTGATTTTAGTTTCATTTGTGGAGATATTAGATTATAGATTCTTACAATAGGACTGGCTTTCTGCCCTTCCCTTAATATATCTATAAATGTGTTCATCTAGACCAAAGTATTCCCTTCTTCATTGATGCTGTGCTAACTTTCTGAATTAACTTTGATAAGACTGTACTCACCCCAGTCTGCAGTGATTCTGAGGGAAGAGATGATCCGTTTTATGGAGGCCTTAGCTGGTCACACAGATTTCTGACTTTTAGAAGTGGTATGGCATGAAGTGCTTTCACTTTCCTTCTTCAGGCTCACAGAGTAGATGATCAACTGCCCTTTGGTAATCAAGCGGTTGTCCAATCCCCCAGGGGGAGAATGGCCAGTCTTACAGGTTAAGATACAAAGGATTCTGCCCAACCATGACCAAGCCAGTGTTCTGTTGAACAGGGATTTCTTGTGCTTTTCACTCTGCAAGAATCATATCTCCAGGCCATTCTCAGGCAGGCAGTTTTCACTACTTCAACACAGAGAAGAGCAAGAAAGTTGTTTGCTGCATGTTTGTTTACAAGACTGTTAAAATAGAGCAGATGACCTGGCTTCTTCTGTCAGAATTCTAATTGTGACTTGTGGGGAGATGAATAGATTCCAGGGTCCCAGAAGGGACCATTGTGATGATCTAGAATGACCTTCTGTATAACACATCCCATCTTGATTTAAAAATTGTCAGTGATGGCAAATGCACCATGACTCTAGTGATTAATTACCATCACTGTTAAAAATTGATGCCTTTAGAACACTGGAGCCCCATGAAATTCTTTTTATTTTTTATAGTTTTTTATATGGGGGGTGGGGGTGGGGGGATTTCATGTTCTGTTTTATCTGTGTGTATGGTGAGAAGCTCTGGGGGATGGTTTCGATCCTGCCCTTAGAAGGTGGGAGGCACTGGGAGTTGCAGATTGCAGAGGGAGCCAGCCCTGCACTCACCCTGCAGCAGAGGTTCCTGTCCTGCAAGGCTGGGCCTGCCAGGTTGCAACAACACTCACTCAAATTTGCACCCCTTCCACCTCATCATTCCTGGAGTGGGGAGCTGGGCCCAGGAGCTGTGGCTACAGGGTGAGTTTTTCATTTTATTTAGTTTAGACATTTTTTGTTCAGTTTTGTGTTATTTCGTATTTGTAAAAAACACAGGGCTCTAGAGAAGACTAGTCTTTAGCTGAAGATCCGTGATTAACATCTTCCATGTGGTCACCACACACTTGTGGTCACACATTACATGGTGGACCTATTTGCAAAGCACAGTTGTAATTTAGAAGTGCTCTTCAAGCATCTGCTTAAAAGTTCCATGTGTCAACCATAATGTAATTATGCTTTATTATATGCAGGCTGGAACATAGAACAGAGAAAATTAACTACAGTAAAAGCTGTGTTATCCAGCACTTGACCAACCAGAAAGACCTAGAAACTGGCATTTCTGATAGGGTTGCCAGCAGTGTTCCCTCTCATTTTTCCCACCCATGTGTGGAATGAATTTTGTTATGCGTACCAATATGGAGGTGATGCGTGACAGGTGTCGGATCTGGGGCCAAGGGCTTCGGAGTGTGGGAGGGGACTCAGGGTTGAGGCAGAGGGTTGGGATGCAGGGGTATGAGGGGTCTGGCTGGGGGTGCGGTCTCTGGGGTGGGGCAGCAGATGAGCGTTTTGGGGTGCAGGAGGGTGCTCCAGAGCTACGGCGGGGTGAGCAGACTCCCCCCAGCTCTCTCTCCCTGCAGCAGCACCTGGGCTGGGAGAGAGTTGCCTCTCCCCGCCGCATCAGCTGCAGAGCTGGGACCACAGGATAGGTGCCCCTCCCCTGGCAGGTCTGGGCTGGGTCAGGGCCAGGGTAAGGGCCCTGGCCGCCGCAGAGTTGGGGCCAGGGGAGGTTGGGACCGGGGTAAGGACGCCCCTCCTCTGGTTGTGGCAGGCCCCTGAATGGGTTCTGCTAAGAAGGCTGCTGTGTGGCTGCGCAGCTTACAGAGAATTTAAGTTGCCAGGTGTCTGGATCTGGGTGGTGCTAACCTCGGGCGGCTCCCAGCAAGCAGTGACATGTCCTTGCTGCTGCTGCTAGGTAGAGGCGTGGCCAGATGGCTCTGCGTGCTGCCCCTTCCCTGAGCGCTGGCTCCGTAGTTCCCATTGGCTGGGAACCGCAGCCAATGGGAGCTGTGGGGGCGCCACCTGGATCCAGAACCCTGAAA